ATTTTGCTTTGTGATTACCATTTATTAATATAGGCTCACCATTATCTTTTTTTTTAAAGACAGGATCTTACTGTGTAGAGCCCTGGTTGGTCTGGAACTCACTCTTTTGGCCAAGGTGGCCTCGAACTCAGACAGATGCTGGATTAAAGGTGCGCACCACCGCAGCTGGCAGCACCACCATTTCTCTTTAAGCACCATCCATCCATTTGGCCAAATGGACAGGAATCACTTTCTTCAGTTCATTCCCCTCCTGTCTCTCCTTCAAAAAATTATCTGCTGGGCGTGCTGGTGCATGCCTTTAATCCCAGCACTCAGGAGGAGGCAGGTGGATCTCTGTTGGAGGCCAGACTGGCTTACATACTGACTTCTAGGCCAGCTGGGCTACAGGGAGGCCTTGTTTAAAAAAAAAAATGGTTTTTAAAAATATTTTATTTATAACTTTTGTTTTATGTGTACGAGTGTACTGACTGCATGTATGTGAGTGCACCCGTGTCGTGCAATGCTGTGGAGGTCAGAAGAGGGCTTTGGATTCCCCTGGAACTGGAGTTAAGGACGGTTCGTAGCTGCCATGTGGGTGCTGGGAATCAAACTCTCGTCCTCTGCAAGAGCAGTCAGTGCTCTTAACTACTGAGCCATCTCTCCAGCCCCCAAAACAAAAAATTTAATTTACTTAAACCTTATTGCTATTGTGAGTGTGTGTACATAGTATATATGTGTGTGTATATGGACCCACACATGCCACAGCATACGTGTGCCAGTCAGAGGACAACTCTGGAGTTGGTTCTCTCCTTCTATCTTTATGTGAGTTCTGGGATTTGAACTGAGGTCAATAGGCTTACATAGTAAGCACCTTTAACCACTGGGTCATCTTGTCAACCACTTAAAAACAATTCTTTTTAAATGTCTTCTTATTGTTTTATAGCTCAGGCTGGCCCCCAAACAACTATACTTTGTTAGTAAGTATATACTAACAAACCCAGCACAAACTCAACTTTTTTTGGTCTTTTGGAGACAGGAGACAGGGCCTCCCTATAGCCCTAACTGGCCTGGCACTCAGTAGATAGACCAGGCTGGTCTTGAACTCACTGAGATCCTCCTGTCTCTGCCTCCTGAGTGCTGGAAAAAAGACATGTGTCACCTTGCTCGGCACTCAAACTCACTTCTAAAAGGGCCTTGAGGCTGCTGAGGCAGAAGGATCACAAGTTCAAGGACAAACTCACCTGGGGGAGAGGGGTAGGATTATAGCTCATTTGGTAGAGTGCTTGTCTAGTATGCACAGAGCCATGGGTTTTCACCACATAAACACTAGGTATGGAAGCTTGAGAGAAAGCTTAGCAGTTAAGAATACTTGCTACTGTTACACAGGATCTGTGTTTGATTCTCACATGACAGCTCACAATTGTCTGTAACTCCAGTTCTTTGATCCAATGCCCTCTTCTGGTCCTCATAGGCATTGCATGTGGTACATCTACATACATGCAGGCAAAACATTCATACAGATAAAATAAGTCTTTAAAAAAAAATAGGACTGGGCTTGGTGCATGACTTTAATCTCAGCACTTGGGAGGCAGAGGCAGGCAGATCTATGTAAGTCTGAGACCAGCGAAAGCTAAACAGTGAGACTGTCTCAAACAAAAAACAAAAAACAAAAATACTGGGTATAATGGTGTATACCTACAACACCTCTTCTGCTCCTGCTTCCTCCTCTCACCATGAAGGACTGTAATTCCCCTGGAACTGTAAGCTAAATAAATTCTTTTTTTTTTCTTTTCGTCCTTTTGAGACAGGGTCTCCCGGTAGCCCCAGCTGTCGTGGAACTGACTATGTAGACCAGGCTGGCCTTGAACTCAGAGATCCGCCTTATGTGCCACCACGCCCGGCCCTAAATTCTTCTTTTTATAAGTTCCCTTGATCATGGTGTTTCTATCACAGCAACAGAAAACTAATACACTCATTCAAATAAAATTTTTAAATGTATGTTTGTTTGTCTTGGTCTTTTTGAGACAGGGTCTCCCTGTAGCCCCAGCTGTCCTGGAACTCACTATTTAGACCAGGCTGACCTAGAACTCACAGAGATCTGCCTGCCTCTAAGGTGTGGGTCACCACACCCGGTTAACATTTTTAAATGTTGTTCTATGTTCAGATTTTAATAAACTGTAAGGAACATGTCAACTTTACAATTAGTCCAATAAAAAAGTAAGTTTTAGCCACAGAAGATTCTTACTTTTATGAGATCTTGTCATCCTGTCAGATTTAGCGGATGCATCCTTAACTCGGTTATGATATTCTAAAAGGAACGTCCGTTCATGTTCAAAGAAATCGTCTACATCCTGCAAGATGAGAAGAACACGTGAGCTCTTTTCACTTGTTTGCTTTAACCTAATGTGTAAATCACTGTCATCATTATAAACAGAAAAACATCAGGAAAACAGCACAGCAATCCTCTAAAAATCAGGTCTTATGATGACCTCATCAACATGCTGAGACTTTAACAGACTCACTTCTATGTACCAAGAAAGAAACCTATAGTTTTACAGCTGAAGACTCAGAGAGCCTGCCTGCCCTCTGCTGCATGGTAGCACATGCCTTTAATCCCAACCAGTGCTGTGGAGGCGGAGGCAGGAGGATCTCTGTGAGTTCAAGGCTAGCCTAGTCTACATAGTGAGTTCCAGGCCAGCTGAGGCTGTAGGGAGACCCTGTCTCAA